GGCGGCCACCATCTCGACAACGTCCACGCCGACGACTCTCCTCCGCTGACCCGGCATTCGCACCGCCAGTACAACACCTCGTCCAAGCTGCCGCCGCCTCGGCCTGCAGATTCGAGGCGCGGACCCCCGGCGGCGTCATCGTTCCCCTCTCAACCGCACCGCCCGCACCACAGCCATCCTGGCCAGGTGCCTCCCTCGCTTCACGGCGCCCCCTCGTCAGCGTTGCCCAATCCCGTGCCCGAACAGCGACCGGCCCCATCCATCCCCGACAACATCGCAAACACGGGCGCGGCCGCAGACGCAAACGCAGACGCAAACGCAGACGCAGGCAGAGAGGCAGAGTCAACAACACATCATCATCCCTCTTCGCCCTTTGCTGTGTCGCCCTCGGCCACCTCTCCACCACGACCGGCCGTGCACTCTCGGGCATCATCATACCACGCCTCACCCCAGCCTGCGACTTCGTCATCGTCAGATTCTCCCCCCGCCCAGCCGAAGCGTCCCGCATCGTGTCCTGAATCGGGACCCGACCACGCCGATCAAACCACCTCCCCGTCGTCTCTATCTCCGACTGGAACCACCAAGCCTCTGAGTTGGAGAGGGCCTGCTTCGCGCAGCTCAAACGGCGTTTCGACCTCCGACGGCCCGCCGCCATCTCTCAACACTCAACGTCTTCACGGCGTTGAGGCGGTGGCCCAAACCACTGCTCAGCCGCAGCCTCTGCCTGAAACACCAAGGACCAAGAGCACACAAGGCCAACGAGAGCTGCTGCTTCTTAACCGGCTTTCTGGGTCCAGCTCATCAGATGACAACCGATATCCATCACCTCAGCGGCCCCCGGTTTCCTACAGACCAACGCAAAAGCGGCATAGCATTCAGCCTGCCACTCTCACGCCTGGCCGAGTGCCGCCAATACGCTCATTCCGCTCATCAGACTCTCGAAAGAGCCTAACGCAGGATATGAATCCCATGTCTCGCCCCCACGATTTGGGCGAGCTTTATGCAACTTCTCCCGAGGAACAGTCGCCGCACAGTTTCGAAGGCAGGCATGCCCAAGGAGGCGTTTCCCTAAACGACGGCGAATCTGGCCGACAAGATGATGGTGGGGATGTTTTTTTGAGAATAGCCAGAGACGAGCAGATGCGCCGTCTGCGAGGAGACGAGAATTTGGACGATGCTCAATCTTCAGTTGTAGGTTGCCATGAGACAGTCCCGCAATGCCCGGTACCCATGCCGTGTACTAATTAGTTGACAGTCTGGCATCAGACGATCCTCTCATCGCCGCCCTTTGTCGACTGTTGTGCCCTCTTATCACCACCAGGCATCGCCCCCAAGACATAGGCGGCGATTATCTGACCAGCAGGACAGACCCCGTCCACTACATCTTGAGGACGACCAAGGAAGTGAAATCTCTCGGACCACTACGTTTCGCTCGCTGCTCCGGGAGAAGGCTGCTTCTGTTCACCCTGGCGAGGAGATTCCGCGGACACGCTCTGGCGGTGCAAACCTGCGACCATCTCCTCTTTCAGCGCGATCTACAGTTGGTTATGATAATAGCCAAGAAGCAAGTATTTACGCACGCAGGCGTGCGTCAATAACCGACAGTAATTCTACTGTGGGCCGTACACCCGGGTACAGGCCATCCGGGCTCATCCAAGCCCGGAATCACGGTTCATCCCCTCTGGCCAGGACGATTGACCTTCAGAACAAGACGGCAACCGAGGCCCCTCATGGACTTGAGGGAACGGAGTCCACTGCTTCAACAACTGCACCCTCGACTGTTTGGGATGAATTAGACGACCTCAAGTCGCGAATCAACCGACTTGAATTAACGGGAAAGCTGCCGTCCACGTCAGGGGCGGCAGTCTCCAGAATGTCTGAGGAGCGGCCAGCTACTGCTACGACGACGGTAACTACTCTGTCTGGATCTCCCAAACGACAGGTCAATGGGCAGATTGCAGAAGTATCGAGTACCACGTCCTCTCAGAGGGAGGCACACCCCATCCTTCATGAAGCGTTGGTTAAATCAAGGCCTTATTTGAGTCTGGAAGTCTATCAGGCACTACAGTCAGCGGCTAATGACGCCATGGCGTTGTCATCAATGATGGGTACCCCAGGTCAGCCAGGGCCGATATCTAGTGCTGCGAGTGTGGTTGGGACGGGAGGACCGGCAGTCACTGACCGACAACTGCGAAGAAAAGCCGATTCTGTCTGTCGGAGTCTGACAGAACTATGTGTAGCACTTGGGGAAGCAGTAGGTCCTGCAAACATCGCAGGCCCAGCTAGTCCACCTGCGTTGGCTCAGCATGATGGACCTGCAACGCCCACTGCCCCAAAGTCCTATAGTAGTCTGCCCACTCCACGCCGTGTGGCCGAACACGGAATACCGAAATCCATCAGCAGCCCAAGACCATTGTCCAAATTCGAAGAGCGACGAAGCTCTATCCTGAATGGGACAGCTTTACCGACGCCGCGCGCCACTGGTTCAGCACCGACTACGCCAATCGAGGGCAATTCGCAGCGAAGATCGTCCCTTATGATTTCGCGGACTCGGCGAGCTGGTACCGAGGAACCGGAAGTTGCTCGGTCACCAACAATGTTGCGATCCCGACGAGCAGGGACCGAAGAACCAGAGGAAGGCCGACAAACGTCATTCTTGAGAAATCGTCGGGGCACAGTGGGTGATGATGGTGGCGAGGGAAGATTCCGACCACCCTCCAGAGCAGATACCGACGTCAACATGCTCAGAGACCCTGGACGAGAATATCCATCAGACTCGCCATCCATAGCGCCCGACAGTATCTCGCAGATTCCCTCAGCACTCCCACGTCGCAGATTTTTGTCCACAAGCGTTTATTCCTCCCGTCCTGCAGGATCCCAGGGGTCCAACATTGCGTCGCCAAGAAGGTACAACGATCGACAAGCGGGAGAGCAAGACTTTGGCGACAGTGTTGGAGAATCACGAGCCCAGAGACAGGGTCCGCCGTTAAGCAAAGGAATAATCCATAGCCGAGCTAGCAGTCTCAGCACTCGGAGAAACCGAGACAGCTTGATTTCGACAAGTTCTGGAGCTACAATTGGCCCCTATAGATGATGCTCATGAGAGCCACTACTTGCATTTTACGCCCGTACATGTATTCAAATGGACTTTTACATAAGACTTTCTAGTGGCACCGTCAACAAGGGACGTTCTGCTACGTACTTTTATATTACACCTTTGATGATTGATGAAGGCGGGACAGCCGGGCTTTTTGCTTTCCTTTTCTTTTTCTCGCGCTCATTTTGTCTATACGACGTTTTTCGGTTTAATTTTTTTTCTTTCCTTTCCCCTTCTTCTCAGACTCTGCATAAATCAACGTACATCACGCACAAAACAAATCATAAAGCAAAATAGTTACTCTGGCTTGCGCTGGATATGAGGACCGCTCTGGACTGCATAACGACATGACGAAATCCATTGTCTGTCACTGAGGTGGCTAAACGGCCTTTGGTCTGCATTTTTCTACTGTATGGGTGGACGAATAGTTCTTTCATGTACGATAGCTCTTGACTGCAATAGGATTTGTTTACATTCTCATAACAAACTATACTTTGCCATGTTGTGACTGATTGTCTTGGAATTCCGTGTCATTGACGCTAGGTTTGGGTGAAGAAGATGCAAAACCATGCACCGTGCGGCCGCGTGAGTCACTGTGTTTGGCTGGCTGGGTGGGACGTCAAAATCTCGGCCTCATTTTCCACCCGACACTTGCATACGGGGTTCTATTCTAGCGAGAACCAGGGATTCAAGAAGGCAAACCGACAACTTTGATTGTCTCGGCTTGCAGTCAATGGGAAGTGCCTGTCGTTGGAAACACCACTGCAAGGGGACGCTTCTCGCGAGCCCCACTTTCAACCTCAGCTTTCCGGTCGCCCAACTCGGGCCGGGCAAAATACCATACTCCCTCACACGCAGCAACAGCAAAATGGCTAGCCACGAAGCCCGTATACATCTCCAAGAGGAGGCCATACCCCGGTCTTCAAGGCCCTCTGGACGCAGGGGCGGTCGCGGCGGCAGGCCCGAAGGCCGGGAGGTGCAGCTGTCCAAAGCCCTCTCCAGGCTGCTACGACACCAAGCTGAGAATGCGGGCATCAAGCTCGACGAAGAGGGCTTCGCGCCCCTAGACCGCGTGGTACGTCTAACCCCCCCTCTTTCCTACACCACAACGCCAGCATCGTAGCTAACACTTTTCTGTTTACTCCGTCGGCAGTTGTCATGGGGCCCTATCAAATCCCTCTCCCCAAGCCTGCAAGAAGTCAAGGACGTTGTGGAAACCAACGCCAAGAAACGCTTCACCTTAAGACCTGCTGACCCTTTGGCGCCTGAAGCCCCTTCTGCGGCGGGATACCTTATCCGCGCCAACCAGGGGCACTCCCTCAAGGTTGATGAGGCGGCCTTGTTCGAGCCGATTCTGCTGGGGGCCGCGGACCTGCCGGGCAAGGTAGTCCACGGGACGTACTTTGCCTTCTGGAAGGCGATTCTCGAGTCGGGCGGGCTGAAGCCCATGAGCAGAGGGCACATTCACTGTTCGGACAGGACGCCGGAGGAAGGGGCTGTGAGCGGGATGAGGAGAGATGCGGAGCTGTTGGTCGAGATTGATATTGAGGCGAGTCTCAAGGACGGCGTGACCTGGTGGAGGAGCGACAATGGGGTGATTTTGACGGACGGCGGGGAGGGAGGGGTTCTGGAGACCAAGTATTTCAAGATGGTGACGAGCAGGACTGCTGATCTGGGCGTCTTGTGGGAGGACGGCGTCAAGATTGCCGATTTACCTGCGGATTTGAAGTTTAGAGCACCAGAGGGGAAGAGACCAGGGGGGAGGAGGGGAGGGGGAGAAGGTGGCGGCGGGAGACATAGGAGGTCATGAGTTATTCATTAAGCAAGTCTACTGCTAGTCTTGGGAGCGGGATATCCCTCCCCGCGGCCGGGCATCTCCATACCAAAAGAGACGTGAACAAATCTACTGCGTGTTGGGGGTTGCCGGCTTGGGCGAATTCGCAGCCGACCACAGGCTCTCAAACGTATCCTGCCTTCTCTGCAATTCGGCCTGCAGCCACTCTAGTACGCTCTCCGCCACCTTCAATCTCGCCTGGCTCTCGCCGGCGATGCCACTGACAATACCTAGGTCCGGGGGGATTCGCATGTCGTTCTTAAAGACAGGCCGTCCGCAGAATAAGCTATCCCCTGCCGGGTCGGGCTCAATCTTGTACGTTGGACTGCCGAGGGCCAAGCGATGGGAGAGACTGGTTACCTCTTCGAAAACAGAAGGGTTGCTGGGCGAGCGGGTGCTGGGAACACTTGTCCGCAGTGACTTGCTAGGCGTTGCCTCTGGTACAGGTGAATTGCCCGACAAGCGCTGCCGTTTGCCCAACGGCTGCACGTTCAGGGGAGGCGGAATATGCGGCTTCGGCAGCTGCAGGGGCGAAATAGCTGGTCGATCCATGCGGAGAAGTTTCCCTGGGGTTATTGCTGCTGGCCTGGCTTGGGTGAGATAGCTGAGCGCATGTTTGGCAGCAAACAGTTTGGCATTCTACGCCAAAAAGATGACCCCTGGGTTAGATGAGCTTGATCTGTTGGGGAGGTTTGTTTAAAAGGGAAAAGGGAGGGCAGTTTGAGCTCGGGCGTACCTTTTTCGACTGGAAGAATGGCGCTTGCTCTCCGACAGAGAACCCAAATCCTTCGCGTGGAAAGGATCCATGGTGTTGAAGGGTGCAGACACAACGCCAAAGTGGTTGGAAGTGTCCGTTGATGGGAATACTGGTAGGTCCCTGGTCTGTCCAGACTGGGTTGGCCAGACGGAGGGACTGCACTTTTTCTATATACACCACGTCAGCAGGGGACTTTTACTTGAAAAGCAGCGAATATCGCTCTGTAGGCGAGCAACCTTACCAATCAACTTGCTAACGTAGCCCTGATCGCTCACGTCTGGTTCTACGTTGAACGGAACAAACGCTGACAAGGCTTCGAGCTGAGGTCGTGTCATGGCAACCGGTTGGCCCGTTTTCATCTCGAGAGCGATTTGCTGTTGTACCCATAGCAGAAGTTTATCCCAGGGCACGGGAATGATGAGGTTTGCGTCCGCGGTTGTCATGGCAGGGCTCGATGCTTTCAGCTGGCATAGGACAGACAGCTTGATTTTATTTTGTTTGCGCCAGTCTCGACTAGTTGGTTTCTTTTCAGATGTCACATCCAGCAAGTGAGAAGAGTCAAGCAAGGATCGGCGTATAGGTTATGACGGTAAATTGCGCAGTCTGAGAAACGCAGTGCGTTGTCGTTGAGTCAATGTGCGTTGGGTGTGAACATTGGGAAGAGAGCACTGTGAGCTTGACCCAAGAGAACATCACATTATTAGCTTGGTGGGGTCTGGTCAATACCTTGACCCTTCAATCTTCCCACCGCTACGTATCACCGCTTGCAGTTAACACTGCAGGAAAGAAGAGAGATCGGGCCAATTTTATGACAAGTCGACTTCCAAGGTGCACATTTGACAAACGTGCCACGTATTACTTCCAAAACCACCAAACTCAGCTACCTGGGTGTATAAACAAATATATTTCCAGAAAAAAAAAACCTGCGCCAATTCTCCGGCTATGCACGTCAGATCAAAATATTTCCATGTTACATTTCCTCAAAAAATCCGCCGTCATCGTCTTCATCAGGCTCAGCAGCGATAGTTTCGCGCATAAGTCGTCTTCGCTCTCTCCGATTAAGTTGCGACTGTTCGCCCTTCTGCTGCTTGCTTGCCTTATCCTTGGCTCCGGCGCGACTTTGCTGATCATGAGCTTGTTCGTGCCCTTGCCTTGAGTCTGGTTTGTTTGAGCTTGTCCTAGTTGTTGGACTATGCTTCTTTGTGGCAGGAGCTGAGTGAGCTGAGTCGTCTGCGGATCTCCTCTCACGCAATTGCTTCAATGCTTCAGGACCCTCTTCCATGGTCTTCTCAACAACAGACCACATTGGTGGTCGTTTGGCGTCGAGTGCAGCTTTGGCTGCTGCTCGTATTTGTTTTGTCTCACTGTCGTCTTCTGCGGCGTCCTCCCCCTTGTCGTTACCCTCGGACTTGGAGTTGCCATACAAACTGATGTAAGGGTCCAGATGCGGATGATAGATTGTATAAGCCTCGTCTACCTCGGCAATGTGCAGTTGCCGTTTTAGATCATCAGCATCTTCGGTACCTGGGTTTTGTTCAATCTTGCGCTTGATCTGTTTCACTAAACGCGACGCCTTCTTTCGCTCTTCAACATGAAAACGTTAACAAGCCTCGCAGCCAGCCACAAGGGTAGACAAAAAGGAAATCTAGCCCGACGTACCAAAAAATCGAACCATGTGGTATTTTGCAATCATTGCACTCCGCCTCTTCAGAAAAGATTTGTCCGAGACGGTAGATTTGTGCGACTCGAGCTCTCTCTGCAAATCATTTTGGACATTGGCAGGCAGGTCCTTTTTGCGATGCAGCAGTCGTTCGATGTTTCGAGCACGCTTTCTCGAATACTCTAAGCTGCCCTCCTTGGCCTTGTGCTTGCCAGTGCCGTATTGCTTCTGACGCTTTGGGTTGAAGCCGTTTGCTCGCGCCGGTCTCGGTTGAGACTCGACGTCGTTGTCCACGTCGGAAAATGATCGCTTCATGCTGAGATGAAGGGGCTGCGCACAAGAGTAGGGCTTGAATGGAAACTCGGCATGAATGGTATGATTTTGTATCATGAGATCCAACGGCGGAGACTCGAGAAATACCGTGATGAGATAGACGTCTTGCGATTTTGGGACTTAAAAGAGGCGGCCAACTTTTTTTGGTGAAAGGTGGGGACTTGCATAGAGGAAAACGGAAGCTGCAGTGCTCGTTATCTTATCAACTAGTCGCTCTTCCCGCCGTGGGCACTCGAGACAGCTACTCAGCTTGTTGGCCAATCAGCGGGCCTCAATCTTTGAATCAAATCATGCCGACCAGTGCATGCGGAGGAGGTCGTGAGATCGCAGGAGCGAGTAGTATATCCAACGTCGACACGCAAGCTTGATTTCTTGGTAGACGCTGCCACTGCCACCAGGCCATTGCGCGGAGCCATGCAGCTCGTCAACAAATTCCAAAGGTCAATGGCAGCGTCGGACAGCGGCTAAGGACAGTTCCTTGGACCCAGACAACCCGTTTACATCCACCAAGCCCTCATCGCCCCGACTAACCGAGTCGCAAAGGGCAGTCAAGGCCATTACTGTCACGCCAAGGCAACTGTAGACTCTTGATCCGTTGAGTTTCTGCAGGCCAAGTGAACTCCAAGGAATTCTTGGCGATTTTTCATGCCGCAAAATGGATCGGCCGGAGCCTGGGCTAGTGAAATGGTCTCCAAATTCATCCTTCGACAGCTTTGTTCATATCAACTTACAGCATCGCGTCGTGCAACTTTACGAACCCACTGGTCATGCCAACAAGCGGCAGTTTGACTTTTCCAAGCTCAGTCGACACGATGACTTCCCTCCTCTTACGACCTACGACTGGTCCCCAGCTGACACTAGCCTGCTGGCGGTCGGCACGAGTTCCGGCATCATCAACCTGTTAAAGATTGACGACAACTCTAATGCATATGCTGAAATTGGCCTTAAAATGGCGCGGACATGCCAGGCGGTTGCTTTCAACACCACCGGTCTCCTTGCTGTTGGTCTCGATCGTGTTCGAATGGACCAAAGTCTCCACGTCTGGGATGTCAGTCGCCTTTCAGCCCAGGAGTTGCCCAAGCCGGGGTTCCCAAATGCAGCATCCACGTTCGTGGACTCTTACACCAGAGTTGAGCCAAGTGTTTCTGTGTCAAGTATCAAGTTCTTCGAGGATAGCCCGCTCACGCTGGTTGCGGGCATCAAGGGCCAAGGTGTAAGGATATGCGATCTTCGAGGTATATATACCACAATCATCGCCGTTAGCACGTAGTGAAGGGTTGAAGGCTGACACAATTTAGATCCAAGCGGGAACATCACTTTTCAAACGAAATGCAACAACAACTTGGCTATTGACTACGTTGACCAACATTTCTTCGCATCATCCGCTCTAGATCACCCTGGCGTCATGATTTGGGATCGTCGAGCCACGTCCCGACCACTTGCTTCGCATTCTTACATGCAGGCTGTGGAAGAGGATGAGCTCCCGTGGGGAGGAGCCTTGCGACTTGATAAGGTGATTGAGACTGACTCTGACCCCTTTTTGACTGAAGGCAAACACTCTCTTGTTCGGTCACTTCGATACTGCCGCGACCGTCGAGGATTGCTGGCAGCACTGTCGCCCACAGGTCAATTGAAGGTTATGGAAACGAATAAAGAAATTATGTCTATTGGCATGGCGGCACACGAGGGTCCCGAGCTGCTGCAAGTTCAGAGATCTCACGAGATGGATGTCTCGTACAGGGATAACTCAAGACGAAACGATCGCATCGTCTCCTTCGATTGGGTGACTTTGGATTCACCTGCTTTGAGGCCAAGATTGTTAGTCCTGAGAGCAAATGGCGCCTTTGATATTCTAGAGCAACCGTCTCGAACGTCAGATCATGTCTATAAGTTGGTTCCATGGCAAGCCCCCCATCGGGGTTTGGAGGGTAAGCAGATAGGACCATCAGCGATGAGTGGTGCAGCTGACATGTCTTAGAAAATTCACCATATCTTGACCTCATGAAGTTTGAGCCAGCCCAGACATCAGAGATTCTAGGGCCCCTAATTAACGAGCAAGTCCTGTCGGACGTTCCCATCTTTGGACCGGAGAAAGCTGACATCGCGGACCGCATCAGCGACGCTTTGAAAGATAGTGTCTCTGTATCTGCTACAATTGAGCATGTAGACGAAATTTCTCGGCCATTGCCAGATTCGTTCTTTAACGCGACCTCCATTACTCAAAAGTTAAAGAGCATTCGAGCATATGTCCGTGATGAACAGGCAGACCAGAAGGCAGAAGACGGACAACAGGAACAAGGAAACGGCCCCAAGCACCTGGACAACAGACCCAATGAGATATCGCTAGCCTCGAACAGCTTGGTTTCCTGCCGTGAGATTCATGAGGCCCTTTTGGGTACGTTGGCGACGGTGAAGGGCCTTCCTAGGGAAGCTCAATGCGTGGTTGACCACTCAATGCTCCTCCGGGCTAAGGAAAAGTATCTTTTTGATGCGGCAACAAACCGAACTGTATTATCCGATGACTCCTGGCGGAGATTTTTATGGGACTGGGTAGCTGGTATATATCACACCCGCCTTTCGCAGCACATGGTTGAATAGTTCGGCTTACAATTTAATACAGATGCTGAAATGGCCGCGGACGACGGGGGTATGCTCCTTGGAAACATGGACCTTAGCTATCTCGGCGTTCATTCCATATGGACAAACGATCTCGGTATATCTGTTCAAAAAATGTCCCTCAACAAAGCCAAAATTCTAACTCACATAGGCAAAAACTCCATGGCCCGCCTCGCTCCAGGCGCAGCCTTCCCTGAACCTGCTCAGTGGGAACGAGTCATCGGCCAATTCTGCAAAAAGCGCCGCCTCCCCAAATTTGACGCCGTGCCCACCAAAAAGCCTTTCCATCGCCAACTCTGCCTCGAAATCTGTAGCTGGGGCGACCCTCAGCGACACGACCCCAACGGCGTTGACCGCGAAGCAGATCCCGAGTATCCCACAGCCATCCACACCATGGTGGCTTCCCGCGCACTCTTCCGCGGTGATACCGAGCAAGCCATCTCCATCCTTAAAAAAGCCAGCGCCGTCCACCCTGAACTTCTCTTCGTTTCCCTGTCCCTGCAGCTCCTCGGCCGAGGAGGCAAAAACCTTCCCGAGGAACATCTCGAGCTCGACGACGCCGTGGCCTCCAAAACAGACCCATACCTCCGTGCCATCTCGTCCCTCATCGCAACTGGAGACTGGAGCGCCATTGCGAACCAGCGCTCCCTCCCGCTCACAGACCGTGCCATTGTCGCCGTGCGAAACTTTGACGATAGCCAACTCACCGAATGGCTCGAGCAGAACGTCTCACTCGCCATAGAAGAAGGCGATATTGAAGGGATCGCCCTGACAGGTATAACAGACAAGCTAGTAGACATATTCGCCCGCTATGTACAGAAATTCCACGATGTCCAGACAGCCACCCTCGTTCTGGCCATCGCATACCCCCGCTACATAGACGACATCCGCTGCCGGGCATGGCGCAACGCTTACAGAGCCCACCTCCAAAGACACAGGCTGTTCTTCCAACGGACCAAATTCGAAGTAGAGTCCACCAAGCGGTCCAAACGCGACGGCGTGCCGACCCTGAAGCCGCCATCGCGACAAATCGCTCTGCGGTGTGTCTACTGTGATGCCGAAGCGTCCCTTTCGAACCAGGGCGTTGCACCGCCGACGTCCAACCCGACGTTGGAGACGCGAAACCCTCTGCTGGCAACGAGCATCAATTCCGGGATAAGCTGCCCCAACTGTGGGAGGCACCTACCCCGCTGTGTCGTCTGTTTGGAGGTCGTGGGGGTGCCGCGGTCGGATAAGCCCGAAGAGAAGGAGTCTACACGCATGGCAGGACGATTTCCTACGTTTTGTCTGCGCTGTGAACATGTCCTTCATCTGGATCATGCGAGACAGTGGTTTGCGAGACATGTGGAATGTCCTGTACCCGAGTGTCGGTGCACATGTAACTTCAGGGCTAATCCAGAACTTAGCTATCATTAATGAGGAGGAGACGTGATATCCTAGCGTATTTGGAGCAAAGTTGTTTGACGGTGACTTGTCTGTTCAGTGTCACTACCATATTATATAGTTATATTTTTGGGAGGGGGTGAAAATGCTGCTTTTGTCTTGAATGGGCAAGATTTAGATACGATATAATGAACGCTTTTGCTGTCTCGCGCTCTTTCTGTACACCTATACTCATCCTTTGCTCTTTCTACCAGGTCTCAAACTGGACGAGTATTTAACGCCGTTCCCATGGTAATATATAGTGTGGCCATTTTCCAGGAGACACCTTCCAGATGGACCGCCTGCGCCCCTTCTTCCCGTTCATCATGTCTGGATATCAATTCCTCTCTGGTGTGCGCCATGTTGCACCCACATCCACTTACGCTCATTTGTCTCATCTCGATCCTGATATAAATGTCGGTCATGAGCTCTTCTATGCGCACCCCCTCGTAATTTGTGTGCTGCAAGCGGCTTCAGTTGAACAGCGCCGCTTGAAATTTGCTTCTCTTGGCTTGGAAAGCCACGTTGTCTCGATGGTCTAATTCCCCAGTCCTGTCATATCCCCTTGGTATTTCAACACCTCTATTTCAGTTCAATCAATAGCCTTACACCACGGGTGGTTTATCACCTGGAGAATGCCGTAGCGCTCTTCGACATCGCGGTTGAGCATGCGGCGAACAAGATCGATACTCTCCTCGCTCATAGTGAATGGAACTCTCAAATCTCTGTCCATGATCTCATCGATGCTGTAGAACGGGTTCTCCTTGTATACAATCGTGTACAGGAGAATGCCCAATGCCCAGACGTCTTGCTCTTTGCCACCGTAAGGTTTGCCTGCCAATACCTCTGGAGCGGCATAATCTGCGAAATACGTCAGCAAAGCAAATTTTCAGATACACCTCCCAGCTCAAAATTAACTTACCAATAGTACCCACGAAGACGTCGAAGGGCCCGCTCTTGATGTATGCCGCGCTTCCGAAGTCAATCAGCTTAATGTTGCCCTCTCCATCCAGAATAACATTCTCGTCTTTGATATCGCGATGTACAACTAACGCCTTTGCGTGCAGAAAGTGAACTGCCTTAGCCACCTGAACAAATATGCTTCGACATTCTGGCTCTTGCATGTTCGCACGAAGTTCAATGTAATCGAACAAGTCCATGCCAGGAAGTCCATGAGGAGCCATTTCAATATAGTAGTTGATATCGTCTTCGAAGAATCCCTCCATTTCTACAATGTTGGGGTGCCTGAATTCAGGTTTCCGAAGGTAATCCAGCACATGGATTTCCAAGGGGACAGTTCCCAATTTTCGGTCTCTTGTCCATGTATCAACCAGGATACGCCGTTTTGTGACATACTTCAACACGACTTTCTTGCCTGATGTTTTATGACGAGCCAACTTAACCTGCCCGTAGGCACCTTGGCCCATGTCCTCGAGAATGGAATAGTCACGAATGGTCGTTTTTCGAGCAGGCTCGGCGGCCCTGGCCGGAGACGAGCTTCCGCTGGTGCTAACTTCTGTTGGTTTCGGCTGTCTCGTAAGCTTCGCTGCTGCGTTCAGAGCCACGTCCCTGAGTTGCCTCGATAGCGTCGTCGCCACTCGTTCTTCCTTCTTCGGTGGAGAGTCGTCATCTGAAGCGATTTCCATGGGAGTGTGTACGGGAGGTGTTTGTCCTGGGGATGGTTGGTGGAGGGGTGTGGTAGTTCCCGACGTTGCAGGCGAGTCAACACTCAGGCGAGCATGGGCATGTAGGTGCCGTGAATACGTGATCCACAAGGCAAATACCATCTCTTTGTGAGAGACCGGGAAAGACTCATCGCCACTGTTTGCCTCATCCTCATCGCTTTCTTCATGGACAGTCTCTTCGGCGATATTTGTCTGCTTTTCACTCTCCACAACACGCATCTGAACGTCAATTTTCAAGTCAGACCCATCGCGATGTCTCGCAGGCAGGCCATCCGGCTGAAGGAATCGTGCTGCGGCATCAGGACGGTGCTCCTTGAGAGCCAGAAAAGCCGAGGCCCTTCGAAACCTTGCCTCAGGGACGACCATTCCGTCCAGCATCTGCAGACCGTCCTCCTGTGTTAATATGTCGAGTATCTTATCAAAATCAGGAATAAGAGAGTCAATGGGCAGTCCATCAGGTTTCTCATAGCCAAATAGGGCAGCACAAAAGACAGAATTGGAGCTCCGGATTTTGAGTGAAACAGGGTCAACAACAATAATACCGGCCATGTGAGGGAAGGTTGACACACGCAGCTCAAGTTTGCCGCGTACTTGCTCTACACTGCAGGGAATGTTAATTTGATGGGCGTTGGGGCAGGTGAAGTACTTCCTCCTTGCAATTTGGGCAAAGTCAATCTCACCAATAGTGGGATCAATGCCTTGCCGAGGAATTCGCGGTATTAGTCTTGCCACGTCAAAGTCAGACCCCGTAGCCTGAGATCCCCATATGGTGTCGGATGCTCCCGAAATGCTCTTTACGGAGCCTTCCTCATCTATTGTCACGTATGAAACATCCTCATGAATCTCCTCCAAAACCCATATCAAACCAATTCGTTTTTCCTTCACCCATAAGCTTGCAGAGCCGGTCGCCCCGTTCCTTTTCTGTATTGGAACAACATCGCCGCACAGGAGGACGCCTCTTGAGAGATTGCTGCGATGCTGTCCAGTGCCTCTAGTCGTCGGTGGATTAGGGTCACCACTGTGCACAGTCTGCGCTCGTCTTTGTACGTATTTGGATGGCTGTGAGCGTGAATTTGGTTTGCTCAGAAGCTGTGCTGTGATCCCGCCTGAACGGCCCCCAAGCAGCGTCGAGGCTACAGAAGACGCCGGGCTCTCGCGCACTGTTCCTTCTTTGACATCATCTTCAGATTCTTCGTCAGTTCGCAAGAGTTTTCGTTCCAACCAGGCCCGTCGTTCTTCCTGAACCACCTCCAAAATGCCCATTTTACGCACTTCAGCTTTTGTGACACCAAACACAAGGCAGGCCAAATCGTTGGCTGCAATGATGGTCCATGGTGGTTTAGCCTCGGTGGTAAAAATGGCTTGAGCGGCCGGCACCCATCGGTTTGTATGACCATGGGGAGTGGGACTCAGCGCACTTGGGAAAGTCTTTGTAGGCGGCCCAGTGTAGGCTGTTGTTGTTGTTGGCGAAGTAATTGGCTCTTCATACATTGGCTGGCCTGCCAAGAATGGCTGTGCCATGGTATCCATGAGCTTATCTTGCAAGGCAATGCCAAGGGTATCAGTCATTGTGCGCTTCAAACTTATAGGCCGGGAGGTGGGCTTCGCCCTTGGGTCTAATTCTTCGTCATCCAGCCTCTCGTCGTCCCCAATTGAAGTCAAGGCTTCGTGTTCCAGCTCTGGAACTGCGGGGAGGCTCTCTACGCTAGCGCCATCAGACGTTTGAAATCGAACGAGGGGCGATTTCGGGGCCTGAATCTGCGCGGTGAATGGCGAAGCAGAATCAGATGCCGTGGTGCTGGTTCGTGAAAGCGGTGGCATGAATTGCTTCTCGAAAATGTTTTCACCGGTCACATCGGCTGGTCCAGTCAGTGGTGCAGCTGTGACTGCTGCTGGATCCGGGTTCGGCAAGTTTCCAGCCCCAATAAGCTGTGCCCTCGCAAGGAGCTCCAGCATGTTTTGGGTATCGACATCGCCTGTGACACGAGCGTGGGCGCTCGCGAGTCCAGCCTGCGTCGAGCTCATGGGCCAACCCATTCGATCTTTCATAAAGTCCATGGAACGTTTCAATACAGTCTGCCTATTATGTATAAATTCCTCGGACTGATGAGCAAAGGAAAACGAGTGTAGGGACTCGGAAGGGAATCGCGACAAGTCCTCGGAGAAACTGGGCGAGGCCGGCCCTGCAGTGTGCTGCATACTGGCGGTGCTCGCCAGCATGGCGCTCATGGAGGTTGAGCGAGACAGTGCGACGACGGAAGGACTTCGGGATGAGGCATTCGAGTTGGGCATCGTTGGAGCTCGAGAAGGTGGGTGCTGCTGGCGAATGCGCCGTAGTCCAGTGATTCCTGCACCATGTTCATGGTCGTTGATATGTGAGGGCCTACATTCGCAGGACGACGATGAAAGCTCAGCATTAGTCAAGTGGTTTCACAGCCGATGTAAAGTTGGAGCCATGAACAGACAGGTCGAACCTTGTGAGTGCGTCATATTCCATGGCAGAGGTCGGGGTGCCCCCAAATGACATGCGGTTTCGGCTCCGGTCGACCGTCGCGTCGGCGGAGAGGGCGAGATTGCCGGTGCTTCGGTTCTTTGGCAATGACAACGGAGGCACTAGTTTGCCGCGTCCTCGATCCCCCTCGCCGGTGCTATCATCGGTGCCTGCAATGGAGGAAACAACACAGTCAGCAAAGATGTGGTTGGTTGCAGCAGTAGCAGTCCTGGTGGGTAGCACATACGGTGTTGTTGTTGCTGCCCGCCATGCATCTGCAGCATCCTAGACGGCGAGACGACCTCGCCGAGCAAACACTGACAGAGGTATCCGCGGACAGTGTCGACGTAGCTGCGAACAAGTGGCGAACGGAGACGATGCCGCTGCCTGATGAATCGAAAGGCTTCGGAATCTGTTCGTGCTCTGAGGTCAAGCCCGGCCTTGCTCAGCTCAGCTCAGCTCGAGGTTCAATCGTGGGTTCAATCGAGGGGTCCCGCGATGAAAGCGGAAGGGTGTTGGATGGGCTGGTCTGGTCTGTGGGCTGGAGGGAGGCGTGGACCATGAACTGTACGAAGATGACCAGTTCGACCACTTGGAGCCTAAGAGCTATCCGAGTCTTGCGGGCGGAGCAAGGTCAGCGGTTGAGAAATTGGAACGCTGGCGCCAGAGCTAGGCGGCTATTCGATAATCGGAGGCGGCAGCTCAAGACGCTGCAAGCCAGATGACTATATTTGGCAGTAGATGGTTCACGGTCGAGGCACAGCAAATGAAAAAAATATATATAGTAATAATAATAAAATGGCCAAAGTTGTAAGAATTTTTGACGCTGCTGGGGCCCTGCGGGCGGAGGTCTGGCGAGGGTTGTTGGCGAGGGTTGATTCGATTGACTGCAAAAACCACAGACTGGGACATGTCTGGTCTGGTCGGACTCAAGTTGACGGCAGACCAGGGTGAGGCGGGCACATGCTACTGAGGTAGGTACGATGTAGAGCACAGTGCTTTTGACGGGTACTTGCAGCCACATGTGCAGGCCCTTGGTGCTGTCGAACTGGTCTGGTGGGAGAGCTTAGCCACTGGAGGAGCCACATACATGTGCTAGGCCGCCTTGAGACGCCTGAGATGTTGGGTCAAGAACCCAGAGCAACATAAGCATTCGTAAACGCACGGCCAAAAGACTTGTGTCATGACGGACGGCTGAAACCTTTGCCCACATTAGTGCACATTGCCTTTTCGTCTTGTCAAGGCACCTGGGGGCCACGGCATGGACATGGCGTCTCGTCATTCGTCATTGCAGACCGAAGTTTATCTTGGCCGGGACAGGATGGTCGCAGTGCCGTGATCAACAACACGTGAATGCTTCCAATCTTCCCATTTATCGCCGCTCGCCGCCTGGTGTAATGCAGCTGGGTATCCTCCCAAAGCCGCTCGGTAGTGGGACTCCTGCCAGAATGGTACATGTAGTATTTGCGGCACCAAGGGGATGCATGTTAAGCCTCAACAAATATCGCGGGAATAAGCTGGTCATATTACACCCGTCTCGGGATTCCCAACACCACCACGGGTAGAGTGATGCATTGCTTGCACTTTTACTTGTCCAATTCCGATATCCTCATGCTATTACGGAGTAGATGATGCGCAAAGTGTTACAGAACTGCTCAACGTGGATTCTGCCAATGCCACGGTCTTTTTCGTAAGAGGTCCCGGGTAGGATGATGGGGTTGCTAAAGAGGGGGGAAAGAGAAGAAAAAAAGGTTGCCATGGACTGCGCACGAGGAGAATAATCAAGATTCGTTATTACGGAAAGCTTAATTATTTTAGTACATTGATTACAGCTTAATTACTTAAGTATTTGGCAGACATGTCATGCGGGGCTGCGTATTTAGTTAATCTTATTCACTTAAGTACACCCATTGTACGGAGTAAGTACATATGTACTTAAGTACTTACTTATGCTGGCATGTGCTTGGCGGCGGAAAATTATGGTTTTGGTGGTGATGGTAAAAGTCTGTTCCCGACAACCGGAAAGAGCTCAGCCGAAATCGTCATGATATAAATTACCATGGCCATCTTTTCGCCGCAGACTTTGAATTCCACTTTGCCAAACCCTCGTATACACGGGAACTCTGCTTTCACAATACATATTCGCGGCATTGATATCTACCAGACCCCACACGAGCCATGATGGTGTCATAAATTACTGCCTACTAGTACACACTAGGTAGTCAAAGACTCATCCTTCTCTCGTATGACACATTGCGATACACCGAGATAACCCACAGAGGCTCAACAGCAAACAATCCACCTGTCAACGTTGCTTCTGTCACCAAACGCAGTCATGGCCGTGCATCCGTGCCATCTTGCGGTGTAACGCCGTGTCGTCGAAATGGCCCGGCGCCAGCCATGGGAGGATTGACACGTCGCCCAGGCCTACCTTAAAATCAGGGACCATTGTCACCTCAGCCAGGGCAGGGAAACCAGGACGGCATGTCAGTTCACGATATGCGGGGTATGGAGAAACCCAGCTTCCTGCGAGCAGATGGCTGCATGGGTGGCACGGTGGGACAAGAGACTCGCCAACATGGAGAAGTCTAGAAGTTCTCGACAAACCCCGGTCGTCATCGTGGGCATCCCATCCCGCCAGTAACTAGTACTACCTACCTAGCGCATCCGCGAACCTTCAAGCACAAAGGGTCCTTTTCAATGCTGGACTAGTCTATTACTAGTCGACAGCCCTGGGCCATCTGGCAGACTCTTTGGCAAGGTATGTATGGAGAACAGACGCATCAAATAAGCCCTCATGCTGATCCGCCTCGTCCGTCCACGCAGCCGCAACGAGTCAGGCAATCACGGTCGTAAGTAAGTTTACGCACCAGACACTCGGTTCCCGACGACGTGCCCGTTGCGTAACAAGGAGCGGCAAACTGCATCATCACTCCGTCCGTCGGCCAGACATGGGGGGCGGCATGGAAGATCTGCCGGTGCAGACATCCCCCCCCCCTGTTCGGTTTGGACAGACCTCCGGCCTTGAAAATCACCATGGAAGAGAGAAGAACTTGCTGCGGGCGTTCCTGGCGGCGTTGGGGGATTGGCGAGGAGACATGGCCGAAGCTATGACAGCCCCTTGCTTTTTGTATTGTGCCACCGAGGAATGGGAGTTGCACGCGGTCAGTGGCGGACGCCAAGCAAGCCTGCCACCAGGCTCGAAACCAGAGTCTTGCATCTTCTTGACGGGAAAATCACTCGCCTTGACCCGGCTGGCTACATGTTTAAGTGCCCACTTTGTTTGCGGACGTCTTCGGTGGACGGTGGAGGGCGAGGCGCTAAAACACGCATACTACTACTCCGTACATACATGCATGTATCGACATTATGTCAATACTACCAGACTACATACAATGTACTGTAGACAGACAGGGAATGGGCGCCGAGGCGGACCAAATAAACGCATCACCTTTTCACCATTTTGCGCACTCGGGCACACACTAGCACCACCAACACATGCGGACCACGCGAAGACATGGACTGCACATGTGAGCCAACTCGACTCAATGGAGCTTCCAAAAGTGAGGTGCCCCAACCTTGAAGGGTCAACTGGCCCCGCCGCCTCTTCTTAACGGTCCCATCCACGCCTTGGGCGAGGAAAGAGTGACAAGTTTGTGTAGTGCTGGTGTGGCGGCGGTACGTCTCCCAAGTAGAGAGATCTACATGTCAGCATGTATTAGACGACGCAGTTAATACGAGGCTCAAAGTCAACAAATGCCTCTCACTCGTGTCCGAGCCGCCGCCGCCGCCGAACGCAGAACGCGGCTGCACCATACTCTGTCTCGCCCTCGTCGTCTTTCTTTCAAGTCCCTGCTCATGCTCCCCCCTTCCACACTTGGGCGTTTTCTACTCTCTCGTATGACCATGGTGATGGCCTCCAACCGACATGTGCCTTGTCTCAACTGATACAGAGCGTGCATTTGGTTCGCGGTGTTGAGTGTGAGCCTCGTGCCTCGTGCCTCCAACTGCACCTGCTGACCCAGAGTGCTGACCCCGCCGTCCATTCGCTGGTCCGCTGATCCCTCGGCGGGCAACTTATCGCAACACCACCTTCGACTTTCCCATTGACGACGACGGCATTTTCCCTGTCGGTTGTGTCAACCCGTTGCTCGCTGCTCTCTCGACGCTCGCTGGATCGAGCACCACCCGCGAGACGGTGGCTGGCGATCGCCAAAGCATACTTCATCTCTTGTTTTTTATCTGTTATGAATTGGTGTCTGTCCACTGGCTCTTCAATACTCGACCTCTTTTACCAGTGGCAACACCCGCCTTATCAGTTGGAACCCCACGTACTATCGACGACATCCCGCGGGGAACTAAGACAACGCCCAAACAGCGTCAACAAGCGACTCCAAATAGAGAGGAAGAGGAGGAGGAAGGAAAAAAAAAAAAAGAGCTGCTCACCCCAAATATTGCTTACGCACACCAAGAAACCCTATTCTGTACCTGGCAGCAACCGGAAAATGGCCGTCATTGACAGAGGCGTCGTTACTTCGGTCCCAATGTCGAATGGCGATGCCACCCCCACATCCCCCGGCACACCTGTCAATGGGAAAGGCCGTAAACGACTGCTTCGCGGACTGCAACGAATATCCTCGTCCCCGTCGTTGAACAGCCTGCGTCGCTCGAGGTCGGCCAGCAGCCCGTACAGCACTCGAGGCACGCTTTCTTGTGTTAGTCTAGCTGCTGTCGGGCCTCCCCAGACTCCGTCCAGTGCCAGGTCGTCTACTCCTCAACCGTCACCGCTTGGCCTGCCGAGCGCCTCGATTTCGCTTTCGCCGACATCAACCCACGAGTTTCCCTTATACGACAATATCGAAGGCCACCTTTCTGTCCGCAAGGTCGACAACATTGACCAAAATGGGCCACCCGCGACGGCGACCGTTCCTGCTGGTCTTGGATTCGCCAAGCAAGATGGGCTAGCCAAAGCGCTGGCAGCGGCAAAAGCACCTCCCAAGCCCGCGTTTCCGTTCTGGGAAAAGATGCCACACGAGCTCCGCGTCCAAATCTTCTCGTTTCTTCGGCCGAAAGAACTTGTTCAAGCTTCGAGAGTGAGCAAGTCCTTCTATAGGTTTTGCTTTGATGGACAGCTTTGGACGTCGCTCGATGCTTCTGAATTCTACCAGGACATTCCGGCTGAGTCACTTGCCAGAATTATCGTGGCCGCTGGCCCATTTATCAAGGACTTGAATCTTCGAGGTTGTGTGCAGGTAGAGCACTATAAGCGCACAGAAGTCATTGTCAAAGCTTGCAGGAACTTGATGAATGCCACGTTGGAGGGCTGCCGAAACTTTCAAAAGACTACTCTGCACACTCTATTGAGGACTAATGATAAGCTAGTTCATCTCAACTTGACAGGCTTGTCTGCCGTGTCAAACACGTCTTGCAGAATCATCGCCGAGTCATGTCCACAGCTAGAAACATTCAACGTGTCCTGGTGCGACAAGGTCGAGGCTAAAGGGATCAAGGCCATTATTCAATCATGCCCCAAACTGAGAGACCTGAGGGCTGGCGAAGTCCGGGGCTTCGATGATATTTCGACTGCCGAGACTATTTACACTACCAAGAATCTTGAGCGTCTAGTCCTTTGCGGATGTGTCGAGCTGACCGACGACGCCCTCAAGGTCATGATGCAGGGCATTGACCCAGAAATCGATATTCTGACCGAGAGGCCTATTGTTCCACCACGAAAGTTGAGACATCTCGACCTGAGTCGATGCAACCGCCTGTCCAGCGCCGGCGTCAAAGCTATCGGCTACGCAGTCCCCGAGCTAGAGGGCCTTCAGCTTTCTGGGTGCAAAACGCTCACTGATGCTGCACTTGAGCCCATTCTTGCATCTACACCCCGGCTTACACATCTTGAGCTGGAGGATCTCGAAGAGCTTACGAACGCCCTCATGTCTGAGCACCTTGCCAAGGCTCCCTGTGCAGAAACCTTGCAGCATCTCTCAATAAGCTACTGCGAAAATATCAGCGATGTTGGCATGTTACCCGTGCTACAGAAATGTCTACGCCTGACAAGCATTGACATGGACAATACACGAATCAGCGATCTCTCCCTAGCAGAGGCCGCAGCCATGGTTAACAAGCGTTCAAAGAGGTCGCTCAAAGCAAGCGACCGGCCACAGGTTACTCTACAGATGGTCGTGTACGATTGCCAAAATGTGACTTGGGCTGGCATCCGAGAAGTTCTGTTTCGAAATGCTCAAATCAGGCCAGCGGCCGGGGAGCCAGGAAAAGTGACATATCCTACAGAGATCATTGGCCTCAAGTGCTTCTACGGCTTTCAGATGACCGTCGACGAGCACCAGACGCGTGTACTACGAGGAGACCTCTTATCCGCCGCCAGGCTGGAGAGAAAATGGGCAGACTACATGCAAGCCAACGAGGAGGCTGGAATGGGAGGTGCAGGACACCGACGACGACGACGTCGGGCTAGAGAAGCTCATGCCCAGCATATGAATGAAGAAGACGGCGGCATTGTGGGCCGTCGACGAGCACGAACTATGGGAGCATGTTCGGTGATGTAAGAAATTCAAGGCCACGACGATGGAAACAATTTGGAACTCTGGTTTGTTATTTCATAATGGCGCAACGGCTTTCCGATGAAAAAAAAAAAAAAAACCTGGGACTGTCTCAATTTCCCGAATGTCTCATTGGTATGGAGCCTGTCAGAATGCAGTTTGTTTAGAAGGATTGTCTTTGGGCGTTCCGGGACCGGTAGGGTAGATTTTTTTGGACAGGATCGTATCACCATCACTCATCGGAGGTTATTGTCGCATGTCACTTTTGGACAGTCTACACCTGAGAGGACTTGTACTTTGCCTGGAAACTGACATGATTCCCTTGCCAAAGCTTACTCTGTCCCTGTTTTTTTTTAATTTTTACTCGCTTTACACCAGAAGGAAAGGAATCTTTGTCCCCACGGCACTCACATAGCTAGGAGTCTTGCATGGCCTGCGTTACATAGAACAAGTATAGGTTGAAATGAAACAGTTTACTTGGCATTGACGGTACTCGGCAGTACTTACTCATTATTCTTCACTAGATCGGTGGAACGGGAAACCCTTCTGTGCCGTTCGAAATAAGAAAAAAAAGCCCAGGGCATTGTTCGCTCTGGAATCATGGGCCATGTCTTCATGCAGGACGTCGCAAATTGCAGGCCAGCTGTCATATATCCCATAACGCCACATTTCTTCATAATGCACAGGCCATGATGGGCGAGGGGGGCACGTCTGGAGAGGGCGAGGGAGAGGGGGAGAGAGAGGCTGGGCTGCAACAATCACGATCGTCAATAGAAAAACGTCAACCGGCATTTCTCCACAATTGGGGAAAAATACAACGCCAATGTGTGTGAGGGTAATAGTCCAACGCCCTCTAATTTTAGACGGGGTTCGACGCGGAAGCGCTGGGCATCGCACAGCAGCAAATTTGTCAGTACATAAATTAAGACCATGCATCGAGGGTAATACAATGCGACGTCAAACGGCGGGACTGGGTTCAAGGGGCTTTGCTACTGAAGAAATGAAGAACACATACATACGGGGAACGGGTAACGGGGAACGGGGTTAGACGGCAGACGCCCGCGGCACTCGGTTTTCGATTGATGACAGAAAACAGGGTCCCGGGCTGTTGTGGGTCAGGCGCGGCCCTGCTCTCTTTCTTCCTTTCCTAACCTCGGCCACGTACAATGTACATATGCAAGTACCAGACTACTACTCAAGTGCTCCGTACTAATGGCAGCTGAGAGGTTTCTGGCCCTTTGGACCATGACAAGTTCCCAAGTCCAAGCGCCCGGTGAAGAAGACGACACTTCAACCACCAACAGAAAACAAAGAAATCCCTGAACCGTCTGCGCCTGCCAATCACTGCCGCTGAAGCCGTCTCGACGAGGGTCCCTTCTGGCTATTCTTCACCGGCTTGTGGCCAACGTGGCTCAGGGGTCTGGCCAGCGAACAATAACACCAAGCAGCAAGAGGTAGCGAGATTTGACGCCCGCGCTGGCTACATCAGACCGGACTTTTTTCTGCTCCCACAGAGCAGCAAGGATCCCTTCATCGCACACCGTAATAGCCCAACCCGAAGGAGTTGGGAGAGAGGAGGCTGACAATGCCCTTGGAAAAGATATACGTCGTCAGACATGGAGTAAGTGGCGCGCCTACCGACAGCCCGGACAATAGGAAGCATTTGCCAGGCGCCGTTTTATCCCCCCCTTAGTTTCGCTCCAGTTGGTCGGTTGATCCGAGGACAGGCGTGTACTTGGGCATTCCGTCGCCCACAGGCATCCAGGGCGATCCCGCCCTCACTTCGTACGGGATTGACCAGGCCAAGGAACTTGGCAGGCATCTCGAAACCTTGGACCCGGCGGTGGAAAAGGTCTACTCGAGCCCGTTTTACAGGTGTTTGCAGACAATGGTGCCATTTATGGACCTTCAGCGGGAGAAACCAGGCGCACAGAATGGTCAGATGCCGCAAGTGTCTGCTGGCGAGTCTGACGAGACGGCGAAATCCTTGCTCACCGGCGGCACAGTGGTGACCAAGATGCTCCCTGAGCATGGCATTCGTGAGTGGTTCGGATCAGCGCCGTTTGATCATCCGGAGCCAGCTGCGCCTGGGGTCCTCAAGGCCATGTTCCCCTCGTACGATGAGAGCTACACGTCGGCTGCGAGGCCGTCCAGGAAGGGCGAGACCCTGGAGCAGTTGCAGCAGAGGATCACCGTGGCCTTGAGGGCCATCATCCAACAGTGTGATGCTGACGGCACGCGGGCGATTGTCCTGTGCAGCCATGCAGCAGTGATTATCCTTATCGGCCGCATTCTTACCGGCCTGATCCCGGCCAGTGTTGACGTTGATGATTTCCAAGCCTACACATGTGGTTTGAGCGTCTACAGCCGCAGCAGCGGTGGCGTCGCTGAAGGAAACAATATCTCTGACACCCGCGATGCCCGCCATTCAACTTCATCATCAACACCGGGTACGTACATATATATGCATGTCATTTCCGGTTTCAGGAAAGAGGCCGTACGGAGCAATATGGAGTCCTATGACGCCCAGCGCCTCGTCTCTTTGCCCCGTTCCCAACCTATTTTTTTTTCTGTCTGCCGGAGTTACTGGCCCATTCAACCGTACTATGCGCTTGGAGGCGACTTACCTAATTGTTTTTGCTGACAGTCGTTACAGATACATTGCAGGCGAATCGGATCGGCGGCTGGGATTGCGAGTTGAACAGTGATTGCAGCTTCTTGAGCGGAGGTGCAGAACGAGGATGGTACGTTGGTTTTGCGTTTACTATTTGCAATACATCATCTCTATGCGCATGCACCGAACTTGCATCTAACACGCATCTAACACGCATCTTCATCTCCCCCCTCCCCCCGCCTCATTTCAACTTGTGTGTGCTGCAAGTGCCTAGACGCGCCAAGTTTCTTCCATGTTTTTGTTATGAATTTTTTTTTTCAATGTCTTTGCATTTGCTGAAAACGCGTCTAGGAAATTCACGGGAGATGAATCATTTCCTGACACAGGATCTCTGTCACAAGTCGAGCCTGGATCTAAACTCTAGAGTTGAAATGCCCGAAAAGTACGTAAGGAGGCGAGCATGGCCCGCTCATGGTGAGACCGTCCAGCTGCAGCGACAAGACTGCATGAAAATTTGCACTCTGTGCATGCAGAACCACGAGTGTCATCGTCGACTTACTCTTCAAGTGGCCAGATAGTTCGTCCGAATAACACATCGAAATACGAGCAAATCCCCATCCATATGTAGCTGGTCCGGGGGTGGGCAAAACCCCAACATGGCAATAATCTTCAGACAATGTCTGGCTCGTGCACAGACGAAGCCGCTTTAAAGCTCCACAGCCGACCAACATCATACATAATACGGAGTACACGCAAGGATTACGTAGTGCCCACAGAAAACGATGACATTCAAGGGCAGCATGGGTTTGTGCCAATTGTTGTTATTCAGATCAGCTTCTAAATGCGGCTTGTTGTTGGTCATGATGACGGCCCAACTTGTCCACGTGCCCCCCCGAGTTGCTGGTAGTACAACAACGGCATTTTGGCCGGCGGGCAGATGTTGGTAACGACTGCTTCCACATAAATGCTTCTACGGGGGAACAACCGGGAGGCCTACTTATCAGTCTGTGTTACTGCAAAACCATCGTCAACGGAGACTTCACGTTTCCCCCACCTCTATGTTCACGCCCAACACCTACGGAGTACCATGTACATACGTACAATGCTATGAATGAAGCGTGTAACGCCACCACTACTGGGTACGGAGTACTGTGACCGTCATTGAAGGGTGAGAGGGCCTCTCCCTGGCCCTTGCTCTGACCGCATGATCCTCGTGCCTAGAACGTAAATCTCTCAACACTCGATACTCCGGACATATACTCCGTAGGTTCGATCTGGTTCGGGGCAAGAGGTGACATAATCATGATCGCTGATGGTGTTCGCGCGGACCGGCATCCGATGCGCAGCCGCTTGGTAGTTGCAAGGGATGTGGGAGATGACAGCCCTCTCTTGCAGACTTGAATTTCGGGTAGCCAGGATGCAGCCGCAAAAGGCAATAAGTGCAGTTGGATGTGGATTTTCATTGGCAGCCGACGTGGTGAACCCTTGGCGAACAGGTACAATAATTTCATTGTGGCTTCTGCGGCTGCGACATCAATGTGAAGGCTTGACGACAACGCCAGCAAAGCTAAGATCCGACGTCCGGCACCCCGTGGCTGCAGCCTGCAATGATACGTGATTCGTACTCTGTACGAGGCAGAGAGGCAACAGCAACACATCGTTTTATAGTGCCGCCAACGTTTTGCACAAATTGCCGTATACTACCAATTGTCTCAGCTAGACACTGGGGGTCGCCATGATGAAGCGGAAAAGCCCTGACAGTTTGCGAGGGTCCGCTGTGGGAGAGTTTCCGTGCGATGATGCCGACCAGATTTTGCTCGCTCCCTTGCTTGCATGTTTCATGGGAGGTTGGCGTACCTTGCATCATGACGACTCTCGCGTAGGGCCGAATATCGCAGATAACTGTTTCCTTTTTCTCCTGTCGTTTCCGCAACACGGGTTTTGTATTCCCGACGTGGCCATATTTCTTGGGCATCTCGTGGCGGCGGAATCTCCATGGTGGTGCTGCAAAATTCCGCCTGGAATTGTACAATAGCAACAGGCATCGAGAGGAAGAAGACTGGCTGTTGCCTAGTAACTCACGCCATGGCTTTAAGGTTCAGAAGAAGCTAATAAGCTGAGCATTTAAGTCTAATGGCCGAAAAGTAAACGCCACTCTTTGCACGAGAATCTGTATTCTCTTCGCCTCTGTCCCTTCGCATGTACTCATATTGCCAGATTTCGTTGGCCACTGGGGAACATTCATTGACATCTTGGAGACGAGATGGCCTGCTGATCATTGAGACATGCAGAGCCCGCGACCGTGGGCAAAGATAGCAGTACTACTGCATGTTCCTTTTTTGGCCACAAAAAGGCTTGGGGAGCCGGCCCAGCTTGCCAACTCGATCCAATC